GTACCTGGGTGGCTCAGTTGGTTAAGTGTCCGATTTCAGCTGAGGTCATGATCTCATGATTCATGGGTTCCAGCCCCACATCAGCTCTGCACTGACAGCTCAGAACCTGGAGACTGCTTTAGATTCTGTGTCTCCCTCTCTCTCTCTCTGCCCCTCCCCTGCTATGCTCACTTATGCATGCGTGCTCTCTCTCTCTCTCTCTCTCTCAAATATAAATAAACTTAAAGTGGAATTGCATGGTGGTTATTTCTGGGGAATGGAATGCGATTAGATGGGGAGGAGCAGTTACAGAGGATTTTCATGTTTAATTGTATATGTACCTGTTTGAAACTTTTTAAAAGTTTATTTATTTATTTTGAGAGAGAGAGGGTGGGTGCACAAGCGGGGGACAGGCAGAGAGAGAGAGAGGGAGAGAAAGAATCCCAAGCAGGTTTTGCCCTGTCCACACAGAGCCCAACATGGGGCTTAATCTCATAAACTGTGAGATCATGACCTAGGCTGAGATCAAGAGTTGGATACTTAACCAACTGAGCCACCCAGGCACCCCATGAAACTCTTGAATAATAACGTATCCATACCTTAATTGTGAAAGTCAGTTTTTGGTAACAGGACTCAGAAACTCAACCAGATTGGGATAAATAACCAATAAGCAAAAAATAACAAACCTTCTTCATTTTGTCCCCCCACTCACAGTAAACTTTTCTTTGCCAGTCTGTGTGAGGTGAGTGGAAACTGATGGCTGTAGCAACTGTCCTGATGTCCTGCAACTGCATTAAGGATCCTTGGAACAACTACTCCAAACATAGGATTTTCACAATTCTGTTAAGTCCAGAAAGCCCTGTAAAAAGGCATTAAAATAATTATAAAATATAATTGTGATAGAACATAACGTAACATAATTGATTTAATGTAATATAATGTAAACAAAGGAACTAACTGTGAAGGGAGGTACCATCTGTGTGATACAGGATGGAAGAATGGTCCTAGCTACTCCCCAAATTTCACATATTGGATCCCTGGCTACAATGTTATGGGTATTTTTACTTGAAAGGAGATTATCGAATTCCTGGACAATTAACTCTTCCATGGATTATTTACTTTTTGGATTATTCCTAGCACCTTTTAAATTCCAAAGGGATTTCCCCCAACTGTGAAGCGTTCTTCTGAGTCATCAACCCACCTTCAATTGGTAGGAGTTCAAGGAATGCAAATTCATTTTGTATTAGCCTAAACAAACACAATTAGAAAGGAAAATCCCTCGAGGCAAAAAACACCTATCAACGCCAGATATAAATTACCTTTGACCATTATAATCAGGGAAATAAATGAGAAACCAATGTAATTATCTTTTTAATCTCCAGAGGAAAATGTTTTAATGTTTTCTTTTATAGATTTCTTCAGCACTTTATAATCCTGGTGTTCTTTTACATTCATTTTAAATCACTGTTATTCAAGCTGAGCTCATTCTCTTTTTGTGGGCAGCAATGAAAGTAGATGAGCTAACCTCCGTCATTCTAAATGTAATTCCCATCCTTGCCAATGCACAGACATAATTTTATGCTTTTTAATTTAATTGTTTGCATATATATTCTTTTTACACTGATTTAACCCACATACTCATTATTTTTAACATCACTTTGATATTTTATAATAAGCTGCCATGTATAATGAGTCATAAATCCTATTAAGAATTTTATACATAGATTATTTAATCCTCACAACAACCCTACCATTTAGATATAATTATTCCTAATGTATAAATGAGGAAATTGAGAGGTTGTTAGTGGTGGAGCTGGAATTTAGTGATTTATTTCCAAAGAGTATTGGAAATAATAGAATACTGGAAGTAAGACTTCCAATAGTCTCGTTACCAAACCCATCATCAATCTGTAATGCCATCCTCTATTAGGCATTTTTGATTATTTCTGATTTTGTGCAGTGATAATAATATCTCATGAAAATTTTTTTGTAACCATAATCATCCTGGGTCCCCATGTGGCTCAGTTTCTACAGAACCACAGAGCACTGCCTATAAGTCATTTTAGAAATGAATTCCAATTTTCACTTTGTGTCTCAAAGGAAAATCACAGCAGAACCAGTTTAAAACTCATAGCAGTACTTCTCAGGTCTCCTTTTGTTAAACAACAGAAATTCAGCCGAGTAATTTAAAAGATCAAATTGGCTTTATTGAACAATTTGTGAATCAGGCAGCATCCTATGTAGCAGATAGGAGCTCCATCAAGCCGTAGAAAAGGAAAGGTTTTTAAAGGTAGAGAGGGAGCCTAAAAACAAAATTACTAGCAAAGAATGCATTGTTTTAGGCAAGGTTTTCTTCCTAAGTGGAATGGAAGGGATCCGTCAGTAAATTGCCTAGTACTAACCGGGAAATTCCATGTTGACTGGTTAAAGTTATATTCCTGGGGAATTTATGATATGCAATTAGGTTAGGTATTAAATCTTGGTTTGCTGAAGTGGGGCCCTTAACATAGGTGACTCCATTTTGGTACTGTGGTTTTCTAGTTAACACCTTCCTTCATTCCTCAGCTCTCTCGTTCTCTAATTGCTATCTAAGGCAATGAATGTCTGAACCCCCAAACCCCCAACAAGCCAAAACCTTACTGCTTTTCTTTCTCCTCACACTTCCCCTTTGGTTCTTTATTTTATAGATCAATGCAGCTTCTCAGGCATGGTCCTTCCCCTGGCCCCAGTCATTCTGGTCTGGCTTCTCTCTCTTCAATGTAATAATCCATCCCAAAAGGAAAGAAGTCCTGTATTGTGAGAGTTGGAAATATGGATTGTGCAGAAATAGGGATAGGAGAAATCAGGGAACACTCACACACGAATAGATTTTTATTCATTTATTTGTAAGTTGAGGTTTTGGGCTTTTTCTTCCCTGCCATGAGCACACCGTAAAGGCCCCTACAGGCGTTGTGTCTTGACAATGTCAGGATTCCAAACTCAATGACAATTCACTACCCATTTAACTTGGCTTCATACATGTCACACAAAACAAAGCATAATACAGTCACCCAACAAAGAAGATACAACAGGGGGCAAGAAATTAATGAACCAAATGTGAAGTCAGTCAGTCCCTAAGTGCACAGTTAGGGTGAGGCCTAGGTCATCTCTCAGCTCACACTGCTTATTATGTTCAAAAAGTGGGAATCTCTGTTATGTTCAAGATCAATCAGTAGGGGCCTTTGGCAGCATTTGCCTTTCAAATATGGTCAGAAGTTGAAGGGTTAGTGCCTGGAGAGTCTGACAGTTTGCCGTAGAAATCCCCCCTTTTGAAAGGAGTTTAATTGGGGCGCGTGGGTGGCTCAGTTGGTTAAATGTGCGACTTCAGCTCAGGTCATGATCTCACAGATTGTGAGTTTGAGCCCGTGTCAGGCTCTGCGCTGACAGCTCAGCTGCTTCAGATTCTGTGTCTCCCTCTGTCTCTGCCCCTGCCCTCCTTGTGCTTTGTATATCTCTCAAAAATAAATAAACATTAAAAATTTTTTTTTTGAAAGTTTAATCAGTCTTGGGCCTTTGCAGGCCTCTTCTGGTTCTAGTGATTATCAGCTCTTGGTTCTTCCAGGTTCTTATCAGTTCTTAGTACTTCCAGTCTGTGCCAGTTTGGGTGAAATCTGGTCTTAGCTGCAACACCCTTCGCTGCTTATGTCACTGTTTGACAGGAGTGACTCTATCTTATTACATTCACCCTCCCGTCCTTGAATTATAGTCTGCAAACTGAGATTCCTGGGTCATTAAATAGATCTGTAATAGTGAATAGTTTTTGATTAAGAAGTATTCTTGCCAGGGTGCCTGGGTGGCTCAGTTGGGTAAGCTTTCAACTCTTGATTTCAGTCCAGGTTGTGATTGCATGGTTCATGAGATCAAGCCCCACATCGGGCTTTGTGCTGCTGGTGTGGAGTTTGCTTGGGATTCTCTCTCTCCCTCTTTCTCTGCCCTTCACCTGCTTGCATTCTCTCTCAAAATAAATAAGCATTTTTTTAACTTTAAAAAAATAAGTATTCTTGCCAATTAAATATAAATACATATGACTATAATGAAGTTGATTTGTCATGCTTTATATGCCTTTTTAGGTAGTGTATTTTATGATTACAACTAAAGTTCCTTATAAAATTCTCATTACTTTATGATGACTGTAATAAATACCTATACATGAAATGCAATAGTATACAGAATACAGGTAGCCCCAAACTTTCCTATTTCTCTTCTCTAATGGGCTAAGGAAAAAAAAGACAGATTTAGACTCTGGTAAACTGACTCATTCAATTGGTAGATGTTCCCATAAGAGCCTTTCTCTGGGTTTTGGCCAGCCCTCAAATTCTTACCTTTCATCAGTCATTGATCTTGGAACTGATTAAGGGTTATCTCTGGGGAAAATTATGACGTAACCAAAGCTTTTGTTTGGCATGCCTCCAGATTACTCTGGCATCTACTTCCTGTCTCTGGCAGTCTTTTTTCCAGGTCCTCTTATTGACCTTTTCTCTCCAGTCAATCATTTACACATTACTGGGGCTTTAACCCAATATACTCCCCTTCTCAGGGATATTTGCATATTTTACCTTATCTGCAATTGTGAGTGCAAAGCTTTGTTTCTGATCCTGGAGTTTGGCACTAATGAGCTAATATAGAAACTCTGGTGGGAAATGGGCTGCCCAGGTGCCTTCTCTTGAAATTGTATCTTTAAGTATATATTTTCTCAGTTTACAAATATGGCCAGCTCCCAACTTACTGATCTTATATAACGGCAAGTTCTGAGGTCGAGTGCACTTCTGTGTATGCACTCAGGTCTTGTACACGCTTGCATGTATAAATGTGAGAAAGACAGGTAAGTGGCAAAACATCAATTTACTAATTAGGGGAAGAAGTACATGCTATTCATTAGTAATAAAATATGAAACTTACTTTCTCTGCCATTCTTCTCTCTTCCTCTAATGAATCTCTGGTATCAGACTGAACCTGGAGGGTTTTTTCTTTCTTTTTTCCAGTTTGACAAATGGACAGACTCTCAACGGAGAAGAATCTTGACAGGCCTGTTAGAACGTTGCTCCCTGGCACAGCAAAAGTTCTGCTGTCGAAAGCTTCAGGAAAAAATTCCAGCAGAAGCTCTGGATTTTACTACCAAGCTTCCAAGGGTGTTATCTTTATACATCTTTTCTTTCCTGGACCCCCGAAGCCTTTGTCGTTGTGCACAGGTAAAGGCAAAGAATTAGTGTCCAACATTTTATAGTGATAGCCTAGAAAACTCTAAAATGAGAAGGAAAAAAAACACATGCACAAAACCAAGAAATAAGATGAGATGGTCAATATGTTTAGTCTATATAGTTTGAATTAATCCCCATCTTCTTTGTACCTAACTCTGTATTTAGTGCTCAAAAGTAGATATAAAATAATGTAAGACATCATTAGTATCCACAGAATAGTATCTGCTGGTTGGGGAGACAGATACACATATATGAAATGGTTCATCAGCAGGATAGTCTTACAGTGCATAGCATACAACTAGGATAAAATTCTAAATTGTATGGTACAGGCCATTCATAAACAGAAGAGCTCAAAATAAGGTGCTAATGAGGTATGTACCAAAGACTATGAGAGTAAGAGTTCAGAGTGAGTAGACATGCTTCCAGTGGCCTTGGAAAAGGGGCTGCTGTTTTTTTATAAGTAAATCCACCATGTATTAAAGTATACTTCAGTCACTTATGAGATAAACTAGTAGCCATTTTATTAAGTGTTTCCATAGAGGTTGGTAACACTAGAAGTTACTAGTCACCATGCATTCACATATGTGTAACATGTTAACTTTAGTTTTTAAAGTTAAGAAGATGGATGCAGTAAGAAAGATGAATTAATAAATGGTGTTAGGACAATTGGGCAGCTATCTGAAAAAAGTATTCTAGTAGGATAAAAGATTGGTATGAAATCAAAGGAAATCATAAAATACTCAAAGAAAACATAAGGAAGGAGGGCTTTGTGAGTATTCTATAATACCCAGAAGCTTTTAAAGAAAATACACAATTTAGGGGCACCTGAGTGGCTCAGTCACTTAAGCCTCCGACTCTTGATTTCGGTTCAGGTCATGATCTCACATGAGTTTGAGCCCCTCACTGGGCTCTCCACTAACAGGCTTTCTTGGGAGTCTCTCTCTATCCCCACCCCCCCTCAAAATAAATAAATAAACTTAAAAAAAAGAGTATCATATAGCTATATGATGAATTACTGTGGGAACATTAGAAAACATGTTTTCAAAACACAAAGATGCTAATAATATGTAAAATGAAGAAACACAATTTAAAATTGTGTATATAGAGTTTCCCAATTTTGTTTCACAATGCCTAGAAAAAAAAAAGAACTCTGTCAGGTTGTTAATAAAGGTAATCTCTGATTTATGGGGTTATGGGTATTGTTTTTCTTTTTAAATGATTATTTTATTTTATTTTATTTTATTTTATTTTATTTTATTTTATTTTATTTATTTATTTTTTTGAGAGAGAGAGAGCGAGCACACAGGGGGAAGGACAGAGAGAGAATCCCAAGCAGGCTTCAGGATGTCAGCGCAGTCTCTTTCTTAGGACTCAATCTCACATGGGATCACCACCTGACCCAAAATCGAGACACTTAACTGACTGAGCCACCTAGGTGCCCTGGGTATTATTTTTCTTTAAACTTCTTGGAATTTTTCAAATTTTGCACACTGAGACTGTTTTCATTTGAGGGAAATGTTATTGGAAATCACTAATCCTATCATATGTGTACCATATGTCAATCTTACAAGATCCTGGCATTATGTTTTTTTCCCAGTACTGACTGTGAAGAAAACACAGGCAGTTGTTCTTCAGCTAGATTTAAACAATAATGTCATTGCACTAAAATGAGCTTTGAGTTGTTTAAAAAGATGGAGGCAGGAAGGGTCTGATAATTTTGAAAGCTCCTACCCTCCTACCTACTCTTCAATTTGCCTCATTCCTGTCTACCTTAAAAACAAGCAAAAAAACACCAAAGAGCAAAAACAAAACATACCAAAACCTTATCTACCCCCGGGGAGTGGGGGAGGGAGGGAAAAACTTGATACCCAGCTCAAAACAAGATGTAAGGAAAATGAGGGAAAGAGTGAGAATTGAGATATTTTTCTCCTCATCTCATCCCTCCGAAACCCCACCTCTCCACTGAATTCTGAGTTAATGAACCATATGGGGATTAAGGTTGCTGTTGTTTCATTTCTGCATTGAACAAAGTAAATGTGATTTCTGTTCCTGCCTGCAGGGCTCTGTCAAATTTTCTACCCTTTTTCATTCTTCCAGCTCCTGAACCTGTTATTTCTTGTAATTGTGCCCTCCCCTCTCCTGTTTGTCTCCTCTTCAGCCCAGAAAACAATGCTAAACATAATGGAACTCAGTATTTGGTAGATGGAAGGAGGAAGAGAGGGCTAGATAAATGGATGGATGAATATTATAGTGTTCTGCCTTTGTGTGTGTGTGTGCTCAAAAATTATTAATGACTTAATCTTGAAAAAGCGACTAATTTCCCAAGGTTGAAATTTAGGTTTGAAGGTTAGATGTTGTCTTTGCGACTCTTACAACACAACACAGAACCCCTGGGCTGAACTTTATATATGAACTAGCTTTCAGCAAGACTTGTTCAAAATCTGAAGTAAGTTACTATAAATACTGCTGCACCATAGTAGGGTCATCTCCAACATTTGCTGGATGTGTGAGAATGACCAGAATGCCATGGGAATGGAATGTAGAGAATAAACAGTGTATGCTCTATGGAATCTTAAAGGCTACATAGGGCACACCATAAGATATCAGTAATTACGTTCTGTTTATAAAATTTCTATTTAGTTAAATCATAAGAATGGAGGGAAAATGGAAGCATACCAAAAATGAGTAAATAATATGCAGACCTGAGTTTCTATAACCCTCCTATAACTTTCATATGAACTTCTAGGAAGTTCCAAAGTCTATTTGAGCCACGGTTGCCTTGTTTGCAACATGAGAGTAGTAATAACACCTACCTCTTTAGGTTGCTGTGGGGATGGTTAATAGGTACTCAATAAATATTAGTTGACTCTGAATCTAAGTGTGATTTAACATTTACAGAAAATCCTCCTGCCTAGGTAGAGAGCATTTCAGGTAGATAATTATTTAAGTTGTGATTTGCAGGAAAAGAACAATAGAGTTATCTCAGGTCCAGGGTGACAGCTCAAGACCTAGAAAAAATGGGCATGTAAACTGAGTTAAGTTTTTTTTTCTTTCCAATTACTTTTTTTCAGGTGAGCTGGCACTGGAAGAACTTAACTGAGCTGGATCAGCTCTGGATGCTCAAATGTTTACGATTTAACTGGTACATCAATTTCTCTCCAACTCCCTTTGAGCAGGGTATATGGAAGAAGCACTACATTCAAATGGTAAAAGAACTTCATGTTACCAAGCCTAAGGTACATTTGGGACGAAAAGCAACAAATATACAAATATCAGCTATTTAGGAATACCAGAGGGGAGATGGATGGGGAGGGGGCGGGGAATGGGTTAAACAGGTGATGAGGATTAAGAAGGGCACTTGTAATGAGCACCTGGTGTTGTATGTAAGTGTTGAATCACTATATTGTACACCTGAAATGAATATTACACTGTATGTTAACTAAGTGGAATTTAAATTAAAACTTAGGGGCACCTGGGTGGCTCAGTCGGTTGAGCGCCTGACTTCGGCTCGGGTCACGATCTCATGGTCTGTGAGTTTGAGCACAGTCTGGCTCTGTGCTGACAGCTCAGAGCCTGGAGCCTGCTTTGAATTCTGAGTCTGTCCTCCCCTGTTCTCACTCACTCTCTCTCTCTCTTTCAAAAATAAATAAACATTAAAAAAACTTTTTTTAATAAATTAAAACTGAAAAATAAAAGGGAATTCCAGAACTAAGACTAAATGATCAAACTTGAAGTTGGGGAGGGGACTTGGTTGAAAGGAAGTACACTATTAGGTCAAAATTTTCCTTTTCTGAGAACTTGATAGCCTTGTTCAAGACATCCATGCTAGTTGAGAGTCCTCATGGGACACTCCCAAAACCACAGTTCCACCCAGGAGGCTAGGACTGCGGAACTCCTCATTCTGTTCAGATTCCTGGATTTCTGTGTCTCTGACTCACACACCAAGCAATTCTGACACTGAGACTCTGTGGAGAATGTGCAATATTTGCTATCAAAGGGTCATCAAATTTTACTTTATTAATTCAAATTTTCTGATTCTATCAGGTGAGCTAAAGTTTATTTGTGTATCATTTACAAAGAAAAGTTTTCCAATCTGTAATTATGGAAATGAGTAATGAGTATACTAAAGTTCTTTTTAATCCAGAAACTAAGCAATGTAAAGCATTTACATATGATCATAAAAAGTAAATAATGCAGGAATAATTTTCCTAGTTGTTTTGTCTGCATTATAACCAATGTTTATGTTCATTCTTATAGTCACAGTTAATTAGATAACTCATTGGAAAATTTTATGAGCCTTTTCTTTATGGTGTGATCTATACACACGCAGAGTTGTGCATCGTTTTGTACAATAGATGAGTTCCTGAAAATTATGTGTAAATTAAATTTTTTAAATGATTTTTAAAACCACAGGGGTATCATATCCTGTGAAAAAATTGCAGTGAATCCTTTTAAAATTGAAGAATCCTTTTGAAAGATTAATAGTCAGCTCCTAACTTGTTCATTTAGCTTTAGTTTTATTGTTTTAAAGTAGAATCCATCTACATTTAATATAGTAATAAACTATGCATAATTAATATTGTTACAATTGCAACGATAAAACTAGTCTTTCAGATTTCAGTAATGGGTGTGCTCCATGAGGATTTCTTTTAAAAAATAAAATTTAAGTTGCAGTGATGGAAGAAGTTATTTTCAAAATTACCATGGCTGTGACTTTTCAGATCTGATAAGGCTTTTCTTGACTCTCATTTTCAGTTGGGGGCAGGGAATGTCATTCAATAGCTGAAGCTTGGGCAGTTCTGGGGTAGAGAAGAGAAAAGTGATTAACCAGTTTGTAGAAGAAAAGAGGTTTTGAGTAGTACTTATAAAACTGACTTTACAGCTTTGTCTTTAGCAATAATTCTTTTCTATAAAATATGTATAACTGTATTTAAAAATAATGAATAGTTCTGATGAGAGAAAATTGCCACCTCTTTGCTTAGTATTATATTTCTTAGCAAACACTTTGTTATATTAAACTTTAATTTTTCTGCTTGATAAATAGACCTAAATCAGAACGACAAAGGTTAATAAAATCTACTAATAAACTTATTGATTAAAGAAATAGACCTTGGGGCACCTGGGTGGCTCAGTCGGTTGAGTGTTCGACTTCAGCTCAGGTCATGATCTCGCAGTCTGTGAGTTCGAGCCCCGCATCAGGCTCTGTGCTGACAGCTCAGAGCCTGGAGCCTGCTTCAGATTCTGTGCCTCCCTCTCTCTCTTCCCCTCCCCTGCTCATGCTCTGTCTCTCTCTGTCTCAAAAATAAATAAAGACATTAAAAAAAAAATTAAAAAAAAAAAAAGAAATAGACCTAAGTCAGAAACACTGAAGAGTCATGTGATTAAGGTTAATAAAGTCATGTGACTAAGGTTAAAAAGTCAACTGTCAGCACCATACATACTTGAGTAATTTGTGTAGTTTCCTGTGAGGTTACTTCAGTGATGGTGAACGTAGGCAGCCACTGGAGTTTACCTTCACTCAAGCACCTCCCCCTTCCACCTCCCCCCAACCCCCAGTACCTTGTACCTGGCATGTGCTTCAGCAGAGCTTTTGAAAGCATTTTATGAGCAAATGGTTGTGGTTAGTATTAGTTTCCTCAAGCTTAACATGAAGACTGGACTAGAATGATCTTTGTAACTATCTGCAAGGCTCTGCTATCCACCCCACACAATATAATTTCAAAAAGACTCAATCTAGAAAAGGAAGAGTAAGCTGAACCCAAAGTAGATAGAAGGAAGAAATAATAAAGGGCTAAGATCAATGAAATCAGAGTAAACAATAGAGAAAAATCAGCAAAACCAAAGCTGCTTCTTTGAACACATAAATAAATTTCATAAGTTTCTAGCTAGGCTGATCAAGGAAAAAAAGAGAGAAAACATTCATTACTCATAACAGAAATGAAAGAGGGGGCATCAGTACAGATCCTGTAAACATGAGAAGAATAATGAGAGAATACTATGAATTAGTCCACATCACTAAATTTGACCACTTAGATGAAACACAATTCTTGAAAATACAAATTACAAAAAGTCTCAATAGGAAATAGAAAACATGAATAAATGTTTATCATTTATGAAATTGAATTCATAATTTTCCATAAAACTCTAGGCCCAGATAGCTTCATTGGTGAATTCTATCACAGATTAAAGGAAGGAATACTAATTCTTTTTTTTTTTTTTTAATTTGAGAGAGAGAGCATGAGCAAGTGGAGGGGAGGGGCAGAGGGATAGAGAGAGAATCTCAAGCAGGCACCACACTCAGCATGGAGCCTGATGCGGGGCTTGATCCCATGACCCTGGGATCATGACCTGAACTTAAATCAAGAGTCAGACACTTGGGGCGCCTAGGTGGCTCAGTTGGTTGAGCAGCCGACTTTGGCTCAGGTCATGATCTCGCAGTTTGTGGGTTTGAGCCCTGCGTCGGGCTCTGTGCTGACAGCTCAGAGCCTGGAACCTGCTTCGGATTCTGTGTCTCCCTCTCTCTCTCTCTCTATCTCTGCCCCTCCCCTGCTCATGCTCTGTCTCTCTCTGTCTCAAAAATAAATACAAACATTAAAAAAACATTTTTAAGAGTTGGATGCTCAGGGGCAGCTGGGTGGCTCAGTCGGTTGAGCCTCCAACTTCAGCTCAGGTCATGATCTCGCAGTCCAGGGGTTTGAGCCCCGTGTCAGGCTCTGTGCTGACAGCTTAGAGCCTGGAGCCTGCTTCTGATTCTGTGTCTCCATCTATCTACTCCTCCCCTGCTTGCACTCTGTCTCTCTCTCTCTCTCAAAAATAAACATTAAAAAAAAAAAATTAGATCTTTAAAAAAAAAAAGAGTTGGACGCTCAGCCAACTGAGCCACCCAGATATTAATTCTACACAAATTCTTTTATAAAGAATGGAAGACAGGAACACTTCCCAACTCATTGCCTTTATACCAAAACCAGATAGAACCTTTATAAGAAAACAAAACAAAACCCCAGACTAATGTCCCTCATGAAAACAAACATAAAAATCCTTTAAAAATATTAACAAATTAAATCAAGTTATTTATAAAGAAAGAATAATACATGATGATCAAGTGGGATGTATCCATGGAGAGTAAGGTTGGCATAATATTAAAAAATTAACCAATGTAATTCACGGAATAAAAGAAAAAAGATGTATGATCATTTCAGTATATGCAACAAAAGCATTTAACAGAAGTTCAACATCTACTCATGATTTTAAAAATTCTCAAAAAGGCTTTAGGTGAACAACATTTTGTTTACTTAATACAGAAAAGTATCACAGTTTCTATTCTGTTTTGTTAAAGAGTCAAACATTTTGTTACTTTTCAGAATGAATAATGCTTGTATAAAATTACTAACACACTAATTTTCTGCCTGAAATTGTTTATTGTTGTGTATTATTTATTCCCAGTAGTATTAAATAAGGTCTTCTTCAGCAAAAACAGACAGATTCTGTTTGATATAAGCTCAGAGAAATGAAATGAATGACCATTCTAAATGAGACCTGAAGAAAATATTGAATACTAAACCAATAATGAGCTATCAATTATATAAATATGAAAGGTCTTCTTAACAATCATTCATTAAATTAGTAAATATTTATTAAGTACTGTTACATGCTGGGTGCTGAGTATAAGGGTCCTAACCCTGCTTTCAAGGAGTCTAGTCTAGTGGCCTAGGACATAAACAAATACATAATTACAACACGGAGTAATACATGCTATTCTGTAATAGAAATGTATACAATGAACAGTTAACACAAGGATAAGAAACTAACTGATTCTGCTTGAAGAGATTGGGGAATTTCTTAATTTTCACCAACAATTCAAGCAAACCAATTTACCATGCAAAGCTTTCCTAATCTCTTAAAGAACAAAAATTAAGCCTTTAATGGCTTCTCGACATACCATTACCACTTCCCTTAGGTTACAACCACATAAAAAACCTTATGAATTTCACACACAAAAATAGACTTTCAATTTGGGAAATTAAAGCAAAAGTATTCTTTGGGAGCAGTTAAGGTTTTGAAAACCGATAAAATCTATAGTTTACCCCCCATATAACTCGAAGTTGTCCCTGTGTGTTATAGATAATTAGGCCTGGAGTACCTTTTTTGGAATGTGTACATTTTTAGGAATAAGTTAACTGCAATTGTGGAAAAATTATACAATGATGTGGTAGAAGAGGTGGCAGTACAGGATAGAGAGGTTTAGAGCAAGGACTTGAAAGCAAGACAGTCCTAGATTCAAATTCTGACCCTTTGGGGTCCCTGGGTGGCTCAGTCCATTACGCATCTGACTTCAGTTCAAGTCACGATCTCACAGTTCATGGGTTTGGGCCTCGCATAGGGCTCTCTGCCATCAGCATAGAGTCTGCTTTTGACCCTCTATCCCCCTCTCCCTCTGATCTCTCCTTCCCCTGCTTGCTCTCTCTCTCTCTCTCTCAAAAATGAATAAACATTAAAGAAAAAAAATTCTGACCCTCTGTCTTACTACTTATGTAATAGTGGGCAAGCTCATTGGTTTATCCTATCTTCAGTTTCCGCTTCTGTAAATGAGAGTAGTAACTATTACCTTTTAGAGTTATTATGAAGGTTAAATAAAATAATGCATGAAAACTTCCTGAGAAAGTACCTGACACATACAAGTACTCCTGGATTGGTGGCTGCTGTAATTATTGTCACCATTATCATTGCAGTTGGGGCGATGATGATGATGATGGTGGTGGTGTTTTGTTTTTTGTTGTAATTATTATGATGTTTTAAGAACAGAAGTAATTTTCTTCTTGTAGACACCTCCAAAAGACAGGTTTGCGGTTGCTGACATTCAACCAGTTACAAGCAGTTCTCCAGAGGAAAAGCAGTTTCCAGCATCCGCTTTCCGGTCCTCTTCCTCTTTGAGAAAGAAGACTCACGGGGAGAAAGAACTCCCACCCTGGCGATCCTCTGACAAACATCCAACTGATATCATTCGTTTCAATTACCTGGACAACTGTGATCCCATTGTGCAAATCTGGCAAGGGTGAGAAGCTCTGTGCTCTTTTCTACTTACTTGCCATTAGACACAATTTGCTGGCACTTCAGTATAGGAAAGGATGAAAATAGAATTTACTGTGAAAAAAATGCTTTTCAATGAATAGAAGCAAAAAGTAATTGAGAAGTAAACCATTATTGGTAAATTTGCCTTGTTCATTAGGTTTTGTTTGCATTTTGTAGCTCTTATAATTTCACATTACAGCTTCTTTTGATATATATTTTTTTAATGTTTATTTTTGAAAGAGAGAGAGACACAGAGCATAAGCAGAGGAAGGACAGAGAGATTGGGAGACACAGAATTCGAAGCAGGCTCCAGGCTCCGAGCTGTCAGCACAGAACCCAACACGGGGCTCAAACTCACGAACCATGAGATCATGACCTGAGCCAAAGCTGGACACTTAACCGACTGAACCACCCAGGCGCCCCTTCTTTTGATATTTTAATACTTCAGATTTCAGTCTAGCACCATAGAGTTCATTCTGGTCTTTTCCTTTTCCATATTTACACCTCCCTTCTCTGACAGTGAGAAACCAGGCTCTCATATTTATTTATGCAAGTTATATATGTACATATATAATTTTGATTATATACTATATATATAATTTATATAAAAATTGCATACTATACACACACACACACACATATACATGAACAGTATGTATTTACTTACAAATACTGAAAGTAATTTTAAAATTGCTAACCTATTTCATTATTAAAACAAATCTGCTAACTAGACAGTATTTGCTTATGGTTCTTTTTTTTTTTTAATGTTTATTTTTGAACAAGAGAGAGTGCAAGCGAGGGAAGGGCAGAGAGAAAAGGAGACACAGAATCCAAGGCAGGCCCTAGGCTCTAGGCTCCAACCTGTCAGCACAGAGCCCAACATGGGACTCAAACCCACAAACCATGAGATCATGACCTGAGCTGAAGTTAGACGCTTAACCAACTGAGCCAGGCAACCCTGTTTATGGTTCTTTTTGACTTTAGTCTGAGGGCATATATTCATAACACTGTGTTCAAAAGTTATGTGGGTTCTTTTTTTAAATATCTCCCTTCACTGTGGTTTGTTACATAGTTCTAAAGTTCAAACTACATAAAAGCAAACAAGAAGTGGGGCGCCTGGGTGGCTCAGTAGGTTAAGCCTCTGGCTCTTAATTTCGGTTCATGTCATGATCCCAGAGTTAGTGAGATCAAACCCTAAATCGGGCTCTGTGCTGACAGCATGGAGCCTGCTTGGGATATTCTCTCTCTCTCTCTCTCTCTCTCTCTCCCTCTCTCCCTCTCTCCCTCTCTCCCTCTCTCTCTGCCTTCTCCCCCCAGTAAATAAATAAAAACTCTTTTTAAAATGTATACGGAAAGTGCACAAAAGGTATACTCAGAGAAGTGCCACACCCCCATCTCTTCCATTCCTCTCCCACCCTGTCATCTTTTCCACCCCATTCCCACTAACAAACCTAATTATTTTACCATTTTCAACTATCTGATTGGCAAACAGTTTAAAGGTTGACAATACATTCTGTTGGTGAGGCTGTGGGCAAACAGGTACCTCATACATTGCTAGTAGGAATATAAATTGGCACAAACCTTATAGAGGGATATTTGACAATTACCCAGCAAAAATACATATGTCTTTACATTTTGACCCCAAAATCCCACTTCTAGGAATCAACCTTGAAAATAAGAAAAGTAGGGGCACCTGGGTGGTTCAGTCAGTTAAGTGTCTGACTCTTGATTTTGGCTCAGGTCGTGATCTCATGGTTAGTGAGTTTGAGCCCTGTATCCGGCTCTGTAGCGTGGAGCCTCCTTGGGATTCTCTCTCTCCCTTTCTCTCTCTGCCCCTCCCCTCCTCACACTTTCTCTCTTGTCTCTGAAAATAAATAAACTTTAAAAAAAGAAAATATGAGAAGTATATCTGTATAAGGATATTTATTGCAGGGGTGTTTCCTATTTTAAAGTATTGGGAATAACTTAAATTTTCATACATGGAGAATGTCTGTTGAATAAACTGGGTATGGTCCATTCACACAATGGAGTACTAGGCACATATGAAAATGAGGAAGAGCTCTCTGAACTGATTGGCAGTAAGAAGGTACGTTGTTAAGGGAGAGAGGCACATTTCAAAGGAGTATCTGTAGTATGCCACCCATAGTACAGAAAGAAGAGAAAGTAAGAAAATATACATCTGTGTCTGTATATACACATGTATCTGTTAATATACACATACATACATGTTTACAGGATAAATAAGAAAGGAAATAAATTTTGGAATGTTTTGTAATGTTTTAATATGTCTGCTATGTTTTCAGAATATATTTAAACAGATTAACATCAAGGCAGCATAAGATAGTGAAAGTGTACAGGCTCTGGAGCCATACTGCTTGGGTTCAAATCCAGACTCCCACATTTCTAGCTTTGTGATCCTGGGGAGTTCCGTAACTTCTCTGTGCCTTAGTTTCCACACCTGTAAACTGGCAATAATAGTAATACCTAGCTCACAGAATCCCTGTGAGGTAATCCTCATATATGCAACATGCTTACGAAAGCGCCTAACACGTAGTAAGTAAGCACTTCTTTTGTAGGATGGTTTACTCAAATTATATTATGTGGCTATAGTAAAAGAAAGGGTAATCCCACAAAGTCTGCTGAGTTGGGGACATTCAGATTACTTGTGTATTTTCTAATTTCAGGACTACTCAAGTCCCTTTGGAGGTGAGATGAGAGTGGTATCCCAAATTAGGCAAGAATCAAGCTCTTTGAGGGTGCAGACCATGTGCCTTACTCATTTTTATATCATCACTGACTAGCTTTGCAATACTCATTAACTGATTTTGCAAGAAGTGTAGCCTTTCTGTTCATAAACTTTAAATTTTAGTTGTATCAGAAAAAAATCTAATTGAGTTGCTAATAACTTAGAAAGTACTGGGCAAAAAAAAAAAAAAA